TTCACACGAATGACTCACTTAGTCTTCAGCAAAGCGGTGAGGCTCTCTGAGTTCAGGTGATGTATGATTGCCTCTCGGAGAGTGGGGAGCATTGATAACACTACAAAAAAGACACAATTACCTACATTGGGCAGGACAAACATCTCTTTCATGACATTTATTAATTGATCATATCATTCTGTTTGATTTTTTTACCCGTCATGTTACACGTCCTCTGGTTGCTTTCAAAATGAAACTGTCTCCGAGCTTGAGCAATGTATTCAGCTGCCTCTCGCTCCTGCATCTCCTGCATTTTTCTTTGTGCATATTTACCAAGTAGATAGACACCTGGGCATGAAGTTTGAGAAAACATTACAATATAATATACATCTTAAGAAACTGACATGCAATATGTCAGATATATTTAGTTATATAAAATATGTATGCTGGCTAAAAATACCAGGGTAAAGTCCATATCAACTTTCTTTGACTGTGCCAGTAGAAAAACTAGGTGACAGGTTATACATGAGATTGATTAGGTGGCTGTGGAAATAAGATTGAGTGCTTGGCAACACTGTAATAACACGCTAAACTATATATTATAGCATATTAACATATTATAACTATATGTATTTTTATTCAGCTACTAAAACAAGAAAGAGTTTACACACGTAGCTAACAGTCTCTGAACTATACGCATGCAGGTGGTCAAGTTGCCCATGTTACCTCCAACAAAAACCCCAGTGAAGATGAATTTCCTCTTATGGCGTTTGATGAAATTCCATGTAGAACTCAACATTTTAAAAACAGACTTTACACCGCAAAAAAAAAACGACAGAAGTAGATGCAAAAGCGTGTTAGATGTAACTCACTAGCTAGCACTATGCTACATGGCAATAACTTCAGCTGTTAGCAGCAAACAGGCGATCTACAGATAACAGATAGCGTCGATCGATCGATCGATTATGCGGTCGTTGCACCGCCCTGAACGGTACATCCATTATTACGGTCCCCCGTAAACAGTAGTGTTGCCAACTCATTTTCAGAGAAAGTTGCTAAAGGAAGGTCG